CCCTGGCTACTGCAATCAGAGATAAAGTGGGTATTTTTGATCTATGGCTATAGGCTGATTGTGAGGAAAAAGAGCAGGATTTCAAAGACTGTCAGGTTCTATGAATACTGGCTGCAGTTTTAGATCTAAGAAAAATTTGTAGAGCTAATACTATACTTGGTTTAGCAATTTCTGGGCACAAAGGCCACTCTAATATTCAAAAGTAGAATCATAAAAATAAAAAATTAATATACATTTCTCACTTATATTCACTTGCTGATTTTTAAAATTAAGGAAAATAATTTAAAAATTTGCTGAAAAAATAAATCTATTTCTACTGCAATTCTATCAACTTGGCTGCATATCATATGTAAAGAGATTTTATATATATATATATAAAGCAGGATTAAATTTTTTAAAAGTTGAATAGGAATAAAAAAACATTTTAGCACTTAATATTTGATGTATCTGATAATAACTGACAGCGTTTAAAATGACTAGTATATCTTCATTGATTTAACTTTACCTAGTTTTATTGATTTGGCCATTAAACTTTTCTTCATCAATCCAACCATTTCTGAAAAATAAATCTTCAGTGTACCACAAAACCAGAAGTTCAAAGCATGCAATATAATATGGAGCACTTAAGTAGGAAAACTCTCATCTATTAAAAATTTTTTATGGCAAGTGCCTCCTATTTAAGATTTTTCCTAAATGACACACTAATATCCAAAGACGCACAGAAGCAGCACCCTACCTCACGCCATACTGAAAGACGTCTTCAGGGCCATTAAGCACAGCTACTTTGCCTGGGTGAACTAGAATGCTATTTTGCTTTCTTTGAATTTTGAGCACTACTGGTTGACTTGAATCTCAAATAATTAAGGACATGCACGTTTTAAGGAAACAAAATCAAACATCAAATCTCCATTTGTTTCACTAATTCTCAGAAATGTCCATATGCCAATATGACTAGTAGCTAATATACTTTTCTTTCAAAGTTAATTACAAATAACCAGCACACAAAAATATATTTTAGTGGAAGATACAGATAATGTAAATCAAATCAGGCTTTAACTGATTTTGTTTTCTGAGAGACAGAAAATGAAATAGCCTTATGGATACCAAAGTTCTGGACCTCATAACTAACATTATTTTTAAAAAATTAAGGCACTTGGACTCCAATAAATATCATAAAAACACTAGTATCAAGTAAATCATTCCTAGAAAATTTTAATTAAAGTATAACATATCTACATAAAAGTGCTCACTGAATTATATGAAGTACAACTACTCATGTAACCAGGAACTACATCTAGAAAAAGAATATTTACGTATTTACAGAGACCTCTCCCAGTAATCAACTCTTTTTTCCAAGACAACTACTCTCCAGACTTATAATTCATATATTAGTAGAACTTTCTTTTTCCATTTATACAGTCAGAATTGACTACATAATTTGAGAGACTCAGTGTAAAATGAGAAGGCTGGGTCACTTGTACAAAATGCATTAAGAATTTCAAGGTGGTAACATTAGAACGTTAAGCCAAATGTGGGCCCTGTGTACCTACACAGGTTACACATTCCTGAAGCCAACTCTGTATAAATCATATATATTTTTATATATGTATAGTTTTCTCCCTCTCATGTAATTTGTGAGATTAATCATTGTTGTTCTAAATTCTATATATTTTTTTTCTCCATTGGCATTAGCGCACAGCTTGCCATCACATGAAAATATTTTATTTATCTATCATCTCTTTATGGACATTTGGGTTTTTTTTCCAAAATGAGTACTTATGTATATACTCATACTGTTCAGTAATTAAAATTTTAAACAATTTGGGGATGTCTGGGTGGCTCAGTCAGTTGAGCATAGGACTCTTGGTTTCAGCTCAGGTCATGATCCCAGGGTTGTGGGAATGAGTACGGATCCTACTTAAGATTCTCTGTCTGTTTCTCTCTCTCTCTCTCTCTGTCTGTCTCTCTCTCTCTATCCCTCCCTCCCATGCACATTTTCTCTCTCTCACTCTAAAAAAAAATTAAACAATTTAAACACTGTCAAGGTAATTAAAGAAGCTTAAAAGCTTAGATTGAGGTCTCTCTAATGCTTAAGCAACCTACATAAGCAAACCAAAACCTAAGCATGTAAATATGTCAAGGAAGAGAAATTGGAACCTAAAACAATCAGTTGCAAACAGCCAATGAGGCTTTCTGAAATAAAGAAACTACCTAAGCTATAGCCAATGAAATAAGTTCCTTGCTTCACTTCCAAATCTTCTCTATGAATGTCTTTCCCCTATTGCCTATGAGTGGAGTGCTCCTAGCTACTTCCAGTTTGGTGCTGCCAAATTCAAATCTATGTTTGGTCAAATAAACTCAAAGAAATTCTTATTTCTCAACCTACCTTTAACAATATTCTTGTGCATAGCTTTTGGTGGATATGTGCACTCATTTCCATTGAACTTTTACTAAAAGAGTGAAATTTCTGTACCATAATGAGATTGTAAATAACATCGACTAAATTCATTTTAGTAGATATTGCCAAATAGATTTCCATAGCTATGAAATAAGCTTAAACTCTCATTAAAGCAGTTCTCTTCTATTCTTAATTTGGCAATTTATTCTATAATAAATTATTTTATAAGTTTATTTTTATTTATTTTGAAAGATAGAGATTAAGCAGGAGAGGGGCAGAGAGCAAGAGCAAGAGCGAGAGAGAGAGGGTAACAAAATCCCAAGCAGGCTCTACACCTTCAGCACAGAGCCCAATGTGGGGCTCAAACTCACAAACCACGAGATCATGACCTGAGCTGAAATTATGAGTCAGATGCTTAATGCAAGTGCCCCTACTTTCAATTTTATTAACTGATGCTCTTACTGTTACTATTTTTCCCTTTTACATTCTGAGATTAATTTGTTCTACTTTCCCATATGTTTTCAGACATAGAATGAGGTCATTGAATGTTATGTATTTTTAATATATTCATGGAAATAAAGCTCTACTTATAGCCCATAAGGTTTTATTATCATTTATAATCATTCAGTTACAAATTTTGTAATTTCTTTCATGGTTCATTGATCTGTGAATTATTTAGAGTCTTGACTAATTTTAAGTTTAGTTATTTATTTTGAGAGACAAAGTGCACATTTCCACATGACCTAGGGAGGAACAGAGAGAGAGGGAGAAAGAATCCCTAGAAGGACCTACACTTGCAGTGCAGAGCCAGACGTGGGGCTCAAACCCATGAACCGTGAGATCATGACCTCAACCAAACCCAAGAGTTGGACTCTTAACCAACTTAGCCACTCAGGCACCCTGAATCTTGACTAATTTCTAGACAACTAAGGATTTCACATTTTATTTTACTCTCATCTAGGAACATACTCTAAGTGTTCCTTAAAATTTCTGAGGCTTTATTTATGGTGCAGTGTACAGTCAATTTTGGTAAATAATTTATGTGCATTCGAACACAATGTGCACTTCTGTAATGTTGGTTGAGTGTCTCCTGTTAATCTATTTGTCAGGCTTGCTAATTTTGTCCTTCATATTTTCTATATTCTCATTGATTTTTTATATTTCTTTGTTCTATGAGCTCTGAAGAAACCTTGTGGGGTGGGGAGAAGGTGCTCTACTTCTAGTAGCTTGTATTATCTTCTAAAGGGTAAAATACTTAATTATTAATTATAGGTTAAGTATATGTTAAAACAACTGTTTAAAACAATTGGAGAGGATGCAAGATAAGGGAGAAACTAGGAAGGATTCAATTTTGATGATGGAAATTTGTTGGATTCAATCCAACTTTATATCACCTTTTCCCCTTCAATCTCCATATTAGAGAGCACCTAGGAATCCAGAAGAAAGAAGAGCTTATTGATTTAGTGTATCCAATAACAAAATTCAGTGGTCCCAAAGAAGATATAAATTGAGAAAGTCCTGGAATATGAAGAGCTACAGAGGACTGTGCTTGACATCAGGATATAAACACACCTCAAACTATGACTGCCCCACGAACAGTGCTTAGTGCTGGGCTTGGTAAGTAAGATTCCCAATATCCCAATGGAAAGCAAGTGGTAGAAGGTTAAAAGAGCTGAGCTGATATTTCTGCTGACCCCCAGTAAAGAAGCGAGAGTTTGGAGTTTGAAGTTTGAATCTCACAAGTTAGAGAAACAAAGTAAACACTGTGAGCTTTCATTTAAAATTCCAAAAGGTCCATGCTTATAAGACTATGGTCCCAGAATTAAGGCACTCATTGAGAACCAAGACCAAAACTGAAACAGACTTATCTGACAAATCTCCACACAAAAAGGATCAGTTCTTAATTTACCTGTCTTCTGGAACAAAACTAAACACTGTTAAAAGACAAAACCCAGAGTCTTTATAACATATAGTCACCAATGAAAACAATAAGGTTTTTTTATAAGTTTATTTGTTTATTTTTGAGAAAGAGAGAGAGAGAGCACAAGCAGGGGAGGAGCAGAGAGAAAGAGGGAGACACAGAATATGAAGTAGGCTCCAGACTCTGAGCTGTCAGCATAGCACCCAACGTGGGGCTCAAACTAATGAACTGCGAGATCATGACCTGAGCCAAAGTCAGACACTTAACTGACTGAGCCACCCAGGCACCCCTACATCAAAAGATTTTAACACATGAAGATACAGGACAATGAAAACCATTGCTCAAGATCAAAGGAAATAAAAACCAAAATAAGCCCAGAGATTACTCCAATATTGAAACTAACATAAAAACTTTACTAGTTGTTGCAAATACAATCAATGACATAAGTGAAACCACATTAAAATAACTGATTTGAAATCTTAGCATTGATATAAGTATAAAAAATAATTATGATGAAATTTTAGAAGGAAATACTACAATGTTTGAAATGAAATTCATTGGATAGGCTTAATAGAAGATGAAAGAGGAAGGCAAGATAGTCAGTGAAACTGCAGACAGATTAATAGAAATTTATCCAATTTGAACCACAGGGAAAATATTTTTTTAAGTGGTTCTGTTTTTGTGCTCACTGCAGCAGCCCATCTAAAACTGGAAAGACACAGAGATGATTACCATGGCCCCAGAGCAAGGAGTATGTACAAATTCATGAAATGCTCCATATTTTTAAATAAGAAAAGTAAATGAATAAACAAACAAAAAACAAACAAAGTAGTTCTGTGTTGACATGTGAGGCAATATTAAGGGGTCCAACATGCATGTAATAGAAACCAAGAAGTAACTCTTTATAAACAGATTGATGGTTTTTACTACAGAAATTTAATGGAGAGTGCTTGCTTTGAAATTGCTTTTTAGGGAAAAACTATGGTCTGTCTTAATTTATTATTGAAAAATATAAAAACATACCAAAATAATAAAATAAGAACAACAACAAAAGCATTTGATTTATGGATTAGGTGGATTTGGAAGAATGTAAAACAATCATATGAGCCTCTTCTTCTTGGTAGTTTTTTAATAAAGAATAAAACTTAAGAGAATAAAAGTGGAAATGGCTTGGCTTCCTTTGAGAATAAATTTCTTTATTCATCATGACAACACATATGTTACCCAAGCCAGTTTTACAGTAAGTGAAGGAACAGTTTTAACCTCTTTCAGAAAGAAATGCAATGTCTTTACTTTGTTCTTTCTGTCATCTTTTGGATTATTAATAAAATTTGGTCACTGGTAAGATCCATGATTCAAGAAAATCTGTTTTGAGAGTTCAATCTTTGTGGTAACAGAATTACTTACCTTGAACATGAGTGATCATGAAAATCTAATATGATTCATATGGTGATTAGCAGAGGAGAAATTACAGGTTAAAGAAGTTAAGGATACATTTTAAAACTTCACATTTATGATTTGTTTTTGATTGAAGAGACCAACAACATAATATATAGTACTTCATCCAGGGTGAGCTTTAAGAGATTATTTTCTAAGATAAATATAAAAATTAATGGCTGCTGCAACATGTATTTCAAAGGTCACTTTCCTCAATCATACCTGAATTGTCTTGCAGGCTTATGTAATCTGGCAGTTAGAATCCCCAAGTTAAATAATTTCTATTCACAACAATGCATATTACTTACATGTGCTTCTTCTAAGGATATCAAAATAGTTTATGAACATAATGTTCATAGCATCCCTGAGAGGCAAACAAACTTAAGTTGACTAACTATCATAATTAGAATTGAAATTCAAAGATATGCATTACAGTTCTGTATTTACAAAACCATCCCAAAGGAATACAGCAGTTACACATGGGAAAAAATTTATCGTACATTTTTTTATTGTTTGGAGTTTTACAATCTGTTGCCAGGCAACTGGATTTTTTTGTACTTTGAAATTGCTCCTATGATAGTTGCTTTTAAAAATCAATGATTATATTGATTACAGCTCTACCATACAAATATCATCTTACATGCAGTTTTATACATAAATATATAAATCTATAAACATGAGATTAAATATAAATATAAATGTATATATTTCTCCTTGGTAATCACGACAGTAATAGTCATTGGGAGTTTTAAATGAGCATTTTATTTCCAGTCATATAATTTTACATGTAAATTGAAAGACTGAGCAGAGTAAATGTGAGTATGAAATTTAACCTTTGCATTTGGAGTATTGTTAAAGTTTTTTTTCTTACTTAACTTCAACTGTGAAGGTTGGTATTTCCATTTTATAAGGTAACATAAAGATTAAGACACTTAATAACTAAGGTGAACACATACCTTAGTATCTAAGCCAAGATAACTTTTAGAATAAAAGTAGGTGCTATTAACATACACCTCAGAGTAAAACCAGGACAGTAACCAAATGTAAATTGGGATATATGGTCATCCTTTTATAGTACTCATAGTATAACTAACATATTTTTGTTCTCAAAAAGAAGTTCTTAAATATGTCACACTCATCTATCACCACAATTCTAAAGATTTTAAACATTAAAGTCTTCTTCACTAGATTCATAGTGAGTGTTCAGATCCAGTTAGTAATTGCTTGTAAATTTTCCTCTGTTAGTCAATTAGACATGTATCGCATATACACTGCCAATTAATATACACAGGTAGCAATCACTGTAATACCAGGGACTATTTAAGTGCTTTATATTAACTAATTTAATCTTTTCAGCAATCCAATTCTTAAGTACTATTACTAAGTCATTTTCCAGATGAGAAAACTCAGGTATTGAGTGACTGTTTGCTCAAGGTGCTACTGGACTAATCCATAATGTGAGCCTAGGCTTCTTATTTGACCAAAGGTCTTGCCTCTTCATTACCAGTACTATCTATCTATCTATCCATCCATCCATCCATCCATCCATCCATCCATGAATGATACAGCAAGGGCTCTGAAATTTTATTCTTCCCTAACAGTTTTTTTTTTTTACAATTTTTTTAAAGGTTTTATTTTTAAGCAATCTCTACACCCAACACAGGGCTCTAATTCACAACCCTGAGATCAAGAGTTACATGCTTCACTGACTGAGCCAGCAAGGTACCACTCAATTTTGTTTTTAGAAATAATAGACCATAGTACAAGTTTCAATCTGTGGTCTAATGCAGAAACATTTTATTTCATTAGAGTCAATGGCTACATAACTATTTTAGTATAGTGAAGGAAATTTAAGGTATGTTTTAAAAATGTGTCTTCTAGAGTCTAACTTCCTGCTTTGATTCTTACCTCTGCCACTTACTAACGCATACTTTTGGAAAAAAAATCACCTAACATGTCTATGTATGGGTATGTTTTTCTGTAAACATACAGAATAGGGGATATTCTTTCTACCTATGTCATTGGCTTAACTACATGAGTAAAATGCTGAGAATAATGCTTAATAAATAAGTAATTTTCAATAAAAGTTAACTATTAATATTAGAAAATATTTTTGAAGTTTAATGTGTATTTACAAATATTTAAACTATGGTTATTACATGTTATAGATTATATTAGATACCAGCTATTTATAAAGATTTATAAGATGTAAAATAAGATGTAATCCTTGTTTTAAAAGAAGTCATAGTCATAGTGTTAAATATTTAATGTTTTAGAATTAATGATTTTATAAGTTTATAGATTTTATTGCTAAGCCATCCATAATGCTATTTTCATTGCCAAAACCCAGATCCTAAATTGCCTAATGACTGCCAGTGAAAATTATTTTGCCAAATAAAATTATAAGATGTTTCCTGAAATTCTAAAATGGTGGGAATTGGGGCGCCTGGGTGGCTTAGTCGGTTGAGCGTCCGACTTTCGCTTGGATCATGAATTCGCGGTTCGTGGGTTCGAGCCCCGCGTCGGGCTCTGTGCTGACTGCCAGCTCGGAGCCTGGAGCCTGTTTCAGTCTGTGACTCCCTCTCTCTCTGACCCTCCCCTGCTCACGCTGTCTCTCTCTCTCTCCTAGAAATAAATAAAAATGTTTAAATAAATAAATAAATAAAATAAAATGGTGGGAATACAGAGAGCCAACTCATAATACTTTTGTTTAAAAAAAAAAACTTTGAAAATATATGCAAACACAAAAACCCAATTTTTGCTCAAACCACATTTTTGACCACTGTTAAAATATTTTTATATAGTCTTTTCCCTCATCTTTATAGTGGAATGTGTATACAGTTATAGACAAATATATATATATGATATTCATATTAAATAAACAGTTCTTTTATTCTGCTTGCATTTAATACTGCATCATGAAATTTACCCTCTTTATTAAGTATTAGAATGTTGCCTAATAATCTATCAAATTGACATATTATAATGTATTAAATCTTATCTAATTTTAAATTTTCCTTATTTGTATCTAGGACAAATAAGGCCAATGTTAAAATGCCTGCATTTTGCATAGAACCCTGGTAAATTTCATAAAATTTATTTCTAGACTGAAAGTAAGATTTAAGTAATTTTAAAATTACACTAGGTATATATTGCCAAAACACTTTTTCAGTATTGGCATTCCAATTTATAGGTTTTTTTTCCTTAAGTGAACAAGATGATCTTGAATTTGAGACACTTAAAATTTGGCACATACTATAAATTCATAAATGATACAGAGAAATTAGAAAGCAAATGTGACAAAATGTTAAAAATTATTGGATCTCAGAACGTTTTAATAGACCTTCATATACTCCTTGCAACTTCTCTCTCTTTTTTTTTAAATGTTTTATTTACTTCTAGGAGAGAGAGAGAGACAGCGTGAGCAGGGGAGGGTCAGAAAGAGAGGGAGTCACAGACTGAAACAGGCTCCAGGCTCTGAGCTGGCAGTCAGCACAGAGCCCGACGCGGGGCTCGAACCCACGAACCGCGAGATCATGACCTAAGCGAAAGTCGGACGCTCAACCGACTAAGCCACCCAGGCGCCCCTCCTTGCAACTTTTCTGATAAAAGCCAACAAATATGCAAGAAAAACAATAGCATACATATATGCTGGTGTTAAAAACACATGCACAAATATCATACCTAACAAAAATAGCACAAAATATGAAAGGTGCAAGTAGAATTATACTGCTGCAATTTCTTCAACAACTATTAAAATGAATACAAAGATACATAGGTAAAAAGCCAACAAAGGAGCAAGAATTAATTATAAAATAATAACAATTATAATACTAAAGGTGGCAAAGATGCATATATATAAAAAAAATGTCTAGGTTAACAGAAAATCTAGATTAAATTGCCAGAGCTAAACTGTTTAAAAAAAAGTAGGTGAACTGTAAAAAGATCTAATACTTATGATTTAAGGCAGAGGCTTGGACTCTAGATACAAAGCAGGAACTAACTTTATGCTTGTGAAAGATAAGCACCTTAATTACTAAGGCAAAAATAAATAAATCAACAAATCAATCAATCAATCAATAAAATAAAGGAGAGGATGAAAGAAGTTTATAGTGGAAAAAGCAGTCCTGTGAAAGCTGGTGTGGATATTACCATCAGAAAAACTTAACAAGATGTATTTCACTATCTTGAAAGATTTAATTCATCATGAAGGTTGTGTGTACGGGGTGCCTGGGTGGTTCCATTGGCTGAGCACCTGACTCTTGATTTGACTAAGGTCATGATCCCATGGTTGTGGGATCAGGCCTCGCATGGGGCTCTGCACTGAGTGTGGAGCCTACTTAAGATT